ACTTCTTTCCCAAGACCCTTGACTCTCAAGCTCCACTTCACGCTGGGGAATCGAGCGGACTTAGCTCAGTCCCTGGAGGAGCTTTGTCGGACAGGCCGCAGACCTGTGCGGCCACCACGTGGACCCAGCCCCCCCCCCACCCCCACCCCCGGGACACATGCCCGTCCGCGGCCCCACAGGCTCACGGTCATTCGCCGTGAAAATAAGGGGGGAGGGCGGCCCGCAGGCTGAGGGTGCTGGCTCTCGCCCTCCTTCGGGCGGGGGGGGCGACTCTGCGGGCAGGAGCTGGCTGAAGCCTCGCTCAGCGCAGGAGTCCCGGCCCCACGTTGCATTAGTGTGGCTTCTGGGCGATTTGGGGCCGTTCTCTGTGCACAGTGGAGATAATCCAGGGGCAGCTTTGGTGTTTGTAAAGGAACTCTCAAAAAAAAAAAAAAAAAGGTACGTTCAACAATCTGACTTTTTTCTTACCCTAGGAAGCCCATTAGAAACCTTAATTTCCATCTAGAAATGTAGTCCGTCGTCCAGTGCAGTCCCTACCAAGGTCATCCTGCTCTGTCCTGCTTCGTTGCTTAATAAACTTCTTTCATTAAACTCCCTTCGGTATTTTAGGCTGCATGGGTATTGAAGTGTTGCCACTGTGCAATGAAGTCTCCAAATCATAAGGAATTCTTGTAATTCCTGTGCTTGTGTGGTAGGCATGCTGGTGCTCCTCCCCTCCCTCCCTCCCTTCCTTCCTCTTCTTCCCCTGGTGGACTCCTGGGCCCTACAGCCCTTAGGTGGGTGAGCAAGGGCTGCCTCCTGGGGGGTGGGGAGGCCACGGGGGCCTCAGTGGGCTGAAGGGCACCTCTTCCTCGGGGCTGCATCCAGCTGGGGCATCAGAGGAGCAGTTGAGAAGGGGGCTCAGCTGAGGGCTGACCCTCAGGGTGTGGGGTTGGGGGATAAAGAGGGTGGCAGGAGAGGGGGCCCCAGCCCCAGCCCCCAGCAGGGAAGAGGTGTCTGTGCAGGGGTGGGGCCCACTGAGGGGTGCTAGGCCAGCAGGGCCAGGAGGGTACCCTGGGGAGGACACGCCTTGTGGGTGTCAGGGCAGCAGACCAGGGCCGCTCTCTCACACTCGTCGGAGGGGGTGGCAGGGGTGGGCAATGGGACGAAGCCCTTGAACGTGTGACCTTGGGCTGGCACTAGAGCAGTCCTTTTGAGCTAATGATTCCATGACTGGGCATTTATTTGGGGGTGGGGGCAACGTTACTTTCTTAGGAAAGTTTTTACTGTGTTAAAATATAAGTAACATAATATTTACCTTGTAACCATTTTTCAACTCGAGTTCATTCCCTGCTGTTAAGTCCTTGTCCGCTGTTCCACACCCTCACACTGTCCCTCTCCGGACTTTTACACCTTCCCAGACTGAGACCAGTCTCCGTCCCTGTGTCCCCAGCCCTGGCCAGCACCATTCTCCTTTCCGGGCCCTGAGTGTGACTGCTCCAGGGAGCTCGGATGGGGGGGCACCCACAATAAGTGTCCATCCGGGGCTGCAGTGCAGAGGCACATATAAAGACAAGTGAACACAGGTGGAAATACGTGTGTGGATGTGAAGGTGGCAAATGGGCCAGCCCAAAACAGGCCCCTTGGATATAAGGATTGTTTGAGCTAAAGGACAGCAGATTCCAGGAGAGCATTTCTCCTTTTTCTTCCTGAACAAAGGAGTCGAAAACTCCCACATGAAAAACGCCCTTCCAGAAGGAGAGTAACAGAAAGAAGGCAACATTCTTCTCATCACATGGAGACTCAGAGGACTGTATGCAAACAGGCCTTGTGAGAATAATTCTTATCTTCCTTCAGCCTCCCCTCTGGTTACCTTAGTTGCTTTTCCACAATTGCCCTGATTTTCCAACCTGATAGAGAGGCACGTGGTTTTCCCATTTCTCCGAAGAAGGAAAGGTGTGAGGGTGTGGAACAGCGGACAAGGACTTAACAGCAGGGAATGAACTCGAGTTGAAAAATGGTTACAAGGTAAATATTATGTTACTTATATTTTAACACAGTAAAAACTTTCCTAAGAAAGTAACGTTGCCCCCACCCCCAAATAAATGCCCAGTCATGGAATCATTAGCTCAAAAGGACTGCTCTAGTGCCAGCCCAAGGTCACACGTTCAAGGGCTTCGTCCCATTGCCCACCCCTGCCACCCCCTCCGACGAGTGTGAGAGAGCGGCCCTGGTCTGCTGCCCTGACACCCACAAGGCGTGTCCTCCCCAGGGTACCCTCCTGGCCCTGCTGGCCTAGCACCCCCTCAGTGGGCCCCCACCCCTGCACAGACACCTCTTCCCTGCTGGGGGGCTGGGGCTGGGGGCCCCCTCTCCTGCCACCCTCTTTATCCCCCCAACCCCACACCCTGAGGGTCAGCCCTCAGCTGAGCCCCCCCTTCTCAACTGCTCCTCTGATGCCCCAGCTGGATGCAGCCCCGAGGAAGAGGTGCCCTTCAGCCCACTGAGGCCCCCGTGGCCTCCCCACCCCCCAGGAGGCAGCCCTTGCTCACCCACCTAAGGGCTGTAGGGCCCAGGAGTCCACCAGGGGAAGAAGAGGAAGGAAGGGAGGGAGGGAGGGGAGGAGCACCAGCATGCCTACCACACAAGCACAGGAATTACAAGAATTCCTTATGATTTGGAGACTTCATTGCACAGTGGCAACACTTCAATACCCATGCAGCCTAAAATACCGAAGGGAGTTTAATGAAAGAAGTTTATTAAGCAACGAAGCAGGACAGAGCAGGATGACCTTGGTAGGGACTGCACTGGACGACGGACTACATTTCTAGATGGAAATTAAGGTTTCTAATGGGCTTCCTAGGGTAAGAAAAAAGTCAGATTGTTGAACGTACCTTGAGAGTTCCTTTACAAACACCAAAGCTGCCCCTGGATTATCTCCACTGTGCACAGAGAACGGCCCCAAATCGCCCAGAAGCCACACTAATGCAACGTGGGGCCGGGACTCCTGCGCTGAGCGAGGCTTCAGCCAGCTCCTGCCCGCAGAGTCGCCCCCCCCCCGCCCGAAGGAGGGCGAGAGCCAGCACCCTCAGCCTGCGGGCCGCCCTCCCCCTTATTTTCACGGCGAATGACCGTGAGCCTGTGGGGCCGCGGACGGGCATGTGTCCCGGGGTTGGGGGGGGGGCTGGGTCCACGTGGTGGCCGCACAGGTCTGCGGCCTGTCCGACAAAGCTCCTCCAGGGACTGAGCTAAGTCCGCTCGATTCCCCAGCGTGAAGTGGAGCTTGAGAGTCAAGGGTCTTGGGAAAGAAGTACGTCCGCTCCTCATTTGGAAGCGAAAAACAACGCTCCCGAAAACGCACTTCCGGCCGACAGGAAGACCGCGTGCACGGAGGAGCGAGAATCTTCATCACGGGTGCGCACCTCTGGGTTATCAGATGTGAGCCAGAAACCAGACTGATAGCAGATCGAAAGCAAACGTTTGGCCCCGCACCAAAGTCAAGTTTGGACTTGCAGGCTGGCAGCCTGTGGAGAAATATCCAGCCACGATGAGGCAATCGGGGAGAAGATGTGTCACCGGGATGGATACAGTAGACGTGCAGCTGGGACGAGAAACGGCCGCCCTCAGTGGTCGGAGCCCTGGAGCCCATCTTTCTGGGAATGTCTCCACGGAGCTGTTGGGGCTTAACCTCAAAGGCCGCCGCCCTGTCCGTTTAAAGTCCCAGGACATGCCCTTGGCCCACAGCCCTGGACTCCAGCCCAGGCCTGGCCCCCCCTTGGTGGGAGGCCTTGGCTGAGAGGCGGCCCCTCTCTAAGCCTGGGTTTCCTTCTCTGCAAAATGGGGAGTTTGGGGAGCTCGCAGCCCTCCCCTAAATCCCTAAATGCAGCTGCCCACCCTCCCTCTCCAAGGCCCTTGTTGCCCCCGCCTGCACCAGCACCCAACCAGCGGAGTGGGGGCGGGGGTCTGGGAGGCCGGGGTGGGGGCGGGGAGTGTTGGAGGGCGGTGCGGGAGGTGCTGAGTCTGCTGGTCTCCACCCAGACTTTCCATTCCCCATCCTCCTCTGCCGCGGGCCATTTCCCTCTGATGGCTGAGGCGGGATGGGGTGGCGGCGAAGGGGCGAACACAGGCACGAGAGCTGCTAGGCTGCAGGAGAGGTTTCTGCCCACTTCCGCCGCCCTTCCCCCGCCCCTCGACTTCCAGAGCCATCTTTCAGCACTCTGGCCCCTCCCCGCCCCACTCTTCCCTGCCTGGATTTCTCTCGAGTCTTGGGCGATGGCGGCTGGAAATGGGCCTGCAGGGAGGGTCCCACTGCGTTCTCTTCCTTCGTCTGGGGGTGTGTAGGTCCTAGGAGCCCTCCACCCCTTGTCCTGAAACTAGGTGGCAGAGCGGTAGTGATGCTGGGATGAGGAACAGGCGAGAGAAGCAGGGCAGAACCCACGGAAGGCCAGTCAGAGGTGGGGAGAGACAGAGGGACACCCAGGGACCAGGGCGTCACAAACACAGAATAGATAGGACAGAAACTTCCAGAGATGAAAGGAGCCAGAGACACAGTCACCGTAGTACTGCACAGCTGTGTGCTTTGGGCAGATTGCTTCCCCTTTCTGAGCCTGAGTTTCCCTGGCTGTAAAACGGGAGGAGGGGGAGAGCGTGGGGTCCATGCCTGCCCCTCAACGCCCTGTGTGAGCATCATCGGTCTCTTGCAAGTGCTGGCCACCCCCGGAGTCCCAACACATGGCAGCTGTTGTTACTTCCATTCCCTTGCTTTGCCCACATTTACTGACCACTTACTGTGTGCCAGGGGCTGCTGCGGGCACCAGGGCACAGCATGCAAGTCGGGCAAAAATCCTGCCCCTTAGAGCTGCTGTTATATCACAGGAGCATGAACTGGGATTTCGGGGGAGACACAACCTTGGCCCCACCCAGTAGGTCCTAACCCGGGAGGGAGGGCTCAGAGTCCAACCCCCAACTTGGCCTTTCGGGACTCCAGTTTTCCACAACAAAACGGGTCTTTCTCTGCACCAGGCAGTGGGAAGATAGGGTGAGTGGATGGTGGCTCAGTGAGTGTTCTTTGTTGCTGCTGCTGTTGTTGTTGTTATCATCCTTATTATTAACTATTTCTACCATTATTAGCTCAAAGGAGCAAGGCAGTTCACCTGGGAACCTTGAGTGAGTGGAGGAGGGTAAGAGGGTGCTGGGCCACCCGAGCCCCAGGGCCAGGGTCTGTGCCAGCTGTGGGTGGTGGGTGTGGAAAGACAGGGGTGAGTCATCAGGCCCCGGCACGCCCTGCTTTTACTTAAGGTTTGCAGCAGACATACCCACCACCACCGTTGCCTGCCCCAGCGTCGCAGCCATGGCCGGGAGCTCTGTGAGTCTTCTAGGGCCTGAGGGCTGGAGGGTCCTGGACCTAAGCAGCACCAGGCTAGGGGAGGAGGGCATGGGCCGGGGCCTGCCCGAGGTGTCCTGCTTCCCAGGAGAAAGTGGGTGGTCGGGTGTGCTGTGCAGCATGGTTCGGGGCACTGCCTTCTGGGGAGACCCACCCATCTCATTGCTCCCATGTCCCGTTGGTGCCTCCTGTTGGTTTCTCTCTCTGAATGTTTTTCTCCTAATTCTTTGTGCTTCACCAAACATCTCTTCTCCTGTGTCTCACTCTCTTTGCCCCTTCCTCTCTGACTGTGCTGGCCTGGGTCCTCGTCTCTTTCTCCCTGGGGTGAAACCTCTGTCCCTCTCCTGGTCTCCCTGGTTCACTCACCACCCCCCACTGACCCGGCCTCTTGCAGAACGTGCCCCACAAGACCTCGCTGCCAGAGGGTGTCAGAGTGGGCACCGTGATGAGAATTCGTGGTACTGTCCCCGAGAACGCTGGCAGGTGAGACTCCAGTGTGACCCCAGGTTCCAGAGGTAAGGGCTGGGAGGTCTGGGTCCAGCTCACCCAGACTCCTTTCAGCCCAGACAGAGATGAGGGCCCCAGGGCCACCTCTGCCTGCCAGGGTCTGGAAGCCCCAGGCCATTACCAACCTTTTGGAATCTGATGCTTTTATAGATGTGTCCCCCGATTGTGCAGCTCAGGTTGCTGGGAATCTGGGGGTCCCAAGCCATTTCGGGGTTCCTACCTATAGCTTCCCAACTTTCCCAGGGACTCTGGGATGTTCTTGTGACCCGGAGGTGCCCTGGGCAGCTGGGTGGCCTATGCAATAAATTGTATGACTTCCTATGCCCGGAAACTTGAGGCTTCCTGGGAATTTCGGTGCCTCTAAATACTGGGACCCCTGGCATTGTTCTCAGCCATTTGAGAACTGGGGGGTTCTCTGGGGTTCTGGAGCACCCTTGGTGATCAGCACCACGACTCCTTGGCAACTCCCAGACTCTGACAACAACGAGGGAGGTCGGAGCCATAGTATGGAGATCCTTGCTTGGTGGAGGTGTGTCCAATAAGCTTGTGTCCTGCCTGGAGTCCGGGTACCTTGTCCATTAGTCCACCACCCCTGTGGTGTGTGACACACTCAGGTCCCTGTAAATCTGGGTGTGCTTCAGGTTAAGTCTTAATTCGGTGGCCCCTGATGGTCTGGGTGGTTCATGGCTCTTGACGTTTATTCCTTGCTACCCCCCACCCCCATCATCCATTCTCCAGGTTCCATGTGAACCTGCTGTGCGACCAGGAGGGTGGCGAGGCTGCCCTGCATTTCAATCCCCGGTTGGATGAATCCGTGGTGGTCTTCAACACCAAGGAGCAGGGCACCTGGGGCAAGGAGGAGCGCGGTCGTGGCATTCCCTTTCAGCGTGGGCAGCCCTTCGAAGTGCTCCTCATCGCCACTGAAGAAGGCTTCAAGGTGGGGCTCTGCCACAGGGGTGGGCGCCAAGACCCAGGTCCCTGCTGTGGCTGGGGCAGGCCGGCAAGGGCCTGGGTGGAGGTGTGGAGCCAAGGCGTGGCCAAGGCTGGGCGGGGTGCCCTCATCCCTGTCCCTCTCGGGGAGCCACCTTAGTAGTGTCCGGAGGGCAGATATGTGCAGGGGGCAAGGACAAAGCCGGTAGGAGTGAAGCGTCCGGAAAGTGGGCATCCTAGCGGCGAGGCGTGCCCCCCCCCCCCCCCGCCCTCCGCGCCAGACGCCACTCCCCTGTTCCTTCGCGCCGGAGCTTGCGTGTGTGCCACAGGGGCAGGGGTGGGCCGGGAGACGGCCCAGAAACAAGTCCCGGGCGGAGTGGTCGCTGTGGAGACCGTATCACCCAGCGGTTCACCATCCGGGGGCAGTGGGCGGTGCCCGGTTCGTGCGGATCACAGCCCGGCCGCTGCGCACACTTACAAGGCTCTCGGGTGCCCGCAATCAAATGATTGCGCCCTCGGGACAAAGGGTTAGAAGGCACATCCGCACGCGTGCCCACTGGGGGACCGGGGGGCCCGCGAGTTACGGGGCTTCCCAGGTCCCAGGGCGCGGGTCCGCGGCGGGGAGACGCTGGGCTGGGGGCCCGGGCGGCCGGAACTGAAGCGCCGCCCGGGTCCCTGCAGACGGTGGTCGGGGACGCGGAGTTCCACCACTTCCGCTACCGCCTCCCGCCGGCGCGCGTGCGCGTGGTGGAGGTGGGCGGGGACCTGCAGCTGCAGTCGTTGAAGATCTTCTGAGCGTGGCGCGAGCGGAGTCCGGGACCCGGATGACAAATAAAGTCTTAGCCCCCTCCTGTGGTGGCCTCCTCTGAGTCTGTGTCTCCTTCGCATGGGCGAGGAAAGCGGTTTGGAGGGCGGAGGTCCGGGACCGGGGCCGCACAGCGGCTCGGCGGCCGAGGCGGGACCCGCGCTTGGGCCCTCAAGGCCCGTGCAATCTGGACACCCAAGGAGCGTGGCGAGGTGCGAGGACGGGTCTTTGGCTGGTGCTTCTGAAGCACTTTGTGAAGCCGCACTCCTGGTGTCTGGGATTGCGGGACCTGGAGGAGATGGGCCCAGCGCCGCCCCTCCTATCCCCACCTCTCCGTGCTCCGCAGGCCCCAGGGTTCCTGGAGACGCTCGGGCGGGGCGCGGATCGGGCCGTCGCCGCCTTCCCATCTGTTCCTGCATCGGGACAGGCCTCCGCCCGCTCGCTCCCCGGGGCTGACAGGTACCGAAGGGCAGGTTCCCGCCGCGTCGGCCGGGACGCGAAGGCTCCGGGCTCCTGGTTCTCCGGGCGGTGGCGGGTTCCCCTCCCACTTTTTGCCTCTCGTCTCCCCGCAGTGGCGGTGGAGGGGACGAGAAGGGTGCGGTCAGGAGGGTCAGACGCCCAGCTCAGCCCCCACCGCCAGGGCGTGATTGTCTGGTGTCAGTGGGTGTCTCTGGGTCACCGCCAAATGGCATTTGCTGCGGGGACCACCGGGAGTACACTAGAGCCTTGAGCCTCTCCATCTCCGAGAGGCGCTCGGATCGGCGTGCTGGGCTGTGGATGGAGCCCCTCCGGTGGGAGATGCTCGCTCCCCAAAATATGTGTCCCGGCAACTTCCGGAGCCCGCTTGGTAGGATTTGTGTTTGAGTCCTTCGGACTTTGAGGAGCCTATTACCTGTCATCCCCTGGTGGCTGCTACGGACCTTGCAGCCTTAGCGATCTGTGCAGGAGCGCTGTGTACCCGCTTTTGCCTGTTCAGGAGGGCAAAATCCTGTAGGACTCCCAAAGCAGGAAGCCCTTCGAGCTCTTCCAGGACCTGAATGTTTTCTGCACTTTGCAAACTGCCACCTATATCGTCCCTCCCTTCTGAATATATTTCTGGGTGGCCAGTTGGAATTAGGGCTCCCTTTGCTCAGTTGGTCACCCGAGAACGGCTGGCATTCACGGGTGCTCTGAGCTCATTGTTAAATAAATTGGTTTTTATTTTATTTGTGTGATATAGTTCTTGAACATTAAAAGACTTGTAAAGATAACATGCATACTTACAAATTTAAAAAAATACATAGTGAAAAATAAGACGTTATTGGCATACCTTGTAAAGGGGGTTGGGTTCTGCGGACTAAATGGTGATTAGACAGTGAGCCATGTGTTACTGTCCTGACTTTCACGTTTGTTTTTACCACGTGTATAGTGCAGAATGTTCTTTCTTCCTCTCTCTCCTTTTTTGAGTTGTGTAACCCTTTATTGGCAACTAAAATTGAAGGTTTCTGTCCTACAACACGGTTAGTTATTGACTATAACTGGAGATTATTATATTCTAATATAGATCATGTATAAGTGCAATTTTTATTAAAAAGCTCCCACCTTTTGGTTTGTGCACAATATGCAAACTATTCTGAAAGAGGAGTTTACGTGCACAAGTCTGCAAAGAGTGCAAGTTTAGGATACCGTCAATGGTTTACATGTTACTTTTTAAAAACTGCCACAACTGGGCCATTGCATTGCCATCTTCTTTTGTCAAAATATTATGCCAGCCCTCCTTCCACTGCTCTAAACGACAAAGCATTTTCAATGAGTTGAAATTATGAAGGCTATGCCTATTAGAAAAGAAGAGAAACTTCTACTAGTTTGAGGTTTCAGAATCCCCCCAAACCAGGACCAGTATCTTGGTAAGGGCTAGGCTGGCACCCCAGGTGGAGTGTGAGTGTGCGGATGCCATCCCTGAGAAGTCAGAGCTCCAGTGCAGCGAGAGTGTGCCTGCAGCATGGCTCCCTGAACCGTCTGGCCCCTTTCTACCCTGGCTTTACTGGGCATAACTCAGAAAATTTTTAAAAAGCTCATATTTATCCCATTCTTCTGGAGCTCTGTGATAGCATTTAATAACATCCCAAAGGGATGCCTTCCACATATAGTATTATGGTATTTCTTCAAATAATTGCTAAAAGATACAGGGTTTAACCCTGTCTGGTGTGGCTCAGTGGATAGAGTGCTGGCCCGTGAACCAAACAGTCACTGGTTCGATTCCCAGTCAGAGCACATAGCTGGATTGCTGGCCAGGCCCCCAGTAGGGGGCACATGAGAGGCAACCACGTATCAATGTTTCTCTCCCTCTTTTTGCCTCCCTTCCCTTCTCTCTAAAAATAAATAAGTAAAATCTTTTTTAAAAGGATACAGGGTTTAACTGTTCTATAATCCTCATACCCATTTTATCTAGATATTCAGTGGATCTATAAATCTCTTCATAGGATTCATCATAGTAATTCTAACAGAACCTTTGACTCCAAAGGCAGAAATCAGAAGAAACCACAAGGAGATTACTATGATCCACTAGATATTTACTGAAAAGTTTTTCAAACTCCTATCCTTTTAACTCACTCAGAGCTACAGCCAGTACAGAAATAATGGTAAACTCATCCTTATGGCTTTCCATGGCTTTAGCTATGCAAGGCAAATGCATTTCAACATCCTGTTCACCTTCATCTGTCTGCAGGGACATGCATTCAAACATTCCTGTCTTCTGTAGTTCCCTGTAAATCTTTTGGTCAATACGAAGGTCCTACAGAGGTATTCTATATACTTATATATTCACGGAAAGTGCACATTGAGGGCGGGGCCTAAGGTGGGAAGGCCAAGGATTCAAATTCTCTGGGTAGTAGGTGGATCCACTTGTTTGTAGCACAAGCAGCAGAGGCCCCCAGTAGCATAAGCTGCACGGACACACTGCTATTTGCGGATGGCCCTCGCATTTTGTAGGCTGTACTTGTGAAAGCCAACCCTCTCATGGCGCATTCAGCTGCAGTCGGGAGGTTGTGTCCCAGCTCCCAGTGTGACTGGCTCCCTGCTGCCCTCTGTCAGACATCTCGGTGCCTGCGCCACCCGTGGTGTGTGACAATGAATGAGGAGTTGGTGGCCCAGAATGTTGTTATTGTTGTTGTTGTTGTTCTTCTTTTTTTTTTGTACAAAACACAGAGTAAAGCAGTTGAAGGTGAAGAGGCAGCCTTTTGGCAACTTACTCATAAATTGCTCAGGAAAAAAACTGAAGTTTGCACTGTACTTAACATTTTTTGTTTGCCACTTCAAAATATATATGGTATATGATAGAATCCCCTAAGGATTCCCTCTAAAATTGTTAAAAAACAATAAAACTTGTTAAAGGAATTTTCTAAATTCAGTCTACAACGTCAACACCCAATATCGGTTGCATTTCCCTACATTAACAATGAGCAATCTGAAAAGGAAACTGTGGAAACAATGCCACCAAAAAGAACAGACTACTTAGGAATTAACCAAGGAGGTGAAAAGCACTACAATGAAAACTACAAAATATTGCTAAAAGGCATTAAAGACATAAATACATAGAAAGACATCCCATGTTCATGGATTGGGAGACAATCTTTTTAAGATGTTAATATACCCAAGACAGTCTACAGATTCAATGCAATCCCAATGAGAAACTCAGTGAATTTTTGCTGAAATAGAAAAACCCATCTCAAAATCCAAACGGATTCCAAAGGGAACCTGAATGGAGAAAATCTTGAAAAAGGAGGACATGGCTGAGGGACTCTGACTTCTTTACAGCAAAACTGCAGTGATCAGAGCAGTGGGTGCTGGCGCAGGGACAGTGGTGGAGACCATGGGATGGAGCCGGGGAGCCTCGAACAGTGCTCACAGGTGTGGTCAGGTGACTTTTGACAAGGGTTTCAAGATCATTCTTGGAAAGAGACAGTCTTTTTAACAAATGGTACTAGGAAGGCTGGATATTCTCATGCGCAAGAATGAAGCTGGCCCTTCAGTGATGCAGCATCTACAAAAAGTAATCAGAAGATAGATTAAAGACCTAAATACAAAAGGTAAACTATAAAGTTATTGGACAAAATCTTCATGACTTTGGGTTTGGCAATGATTTCTTGGGTATTACACCCAAATAGATAAATTGGATTTCATGAAAATTAACAAAAGTTTTTGTTTATCAAAAGGCACTACTGACAGAGTAAAAAGCCAACCCTCAAAATTGGAGAAAATATTTTCAAATTACATGTGATAAAGGATTAACATCCAGAATAAATAGTGAACTCTTAAAACTCAACAATAACAATAATATTCAAAAATGCACAAAGGACTTGAATAGACATTTCTCAAAAAAATTAAAAAAGAATACACAAATAGCCAACAACACCTTAAAGGATGCTTGACATCACTGACCCTCACCCTGGCCAGGTGGATCAGCTGGTTGGAGTGCTGTCCTGCACACCAAAAGGTTTGGGTTTGACTCCCGATAGGGCACATAGCTAGGTTGTGGGTTTGATCCCCAACCAGGGAGGATATGAGAGGCAACCAATCGAGATTTCCGAGGTTTCTCTCACTTCAGTGTTTCTCTCTCTCTCTCTCTCTCTCTCTCTCTCTCTCTCTCTCTCTCTCAAAATCAATAAACAGACCCTCAGGTGAAGATTTTTTAAAAAGATGCTCACTATCACTAATCCTTAGGGAGATACATATCAAAACTATGAGATACCCATTAGGATGGCTACTATCAAAAAAAGAAAAGCAGAAAATCACAAGTGTTGGGGAGCATGTGGAGAGACTGGAGCCCTCCTGCACTGCCGGTGGGAATGTAAAATGGTGCAGCTGCTATGAAAATCAGTGTGGTGGTTCCTCAAAAAATTAAACATGGAATTTCCACATGACCCAGCAAACTCATCTCTTGGTGTAGCCCCAAAAGAACTGAAAGCAGACTCTCAAATATCTGTACAGTGTGTTCACAGCAACATTCTTCACCAGAGCTGAATCATGGAGACAGTCCAAGTGTCTGTCGACGGGTGGATGGGTGACCTAA